GCGTTCAAAGCTTGATGGAAACAATGAGTATGAGAACGTGAAAGGATTTAAAATGAATAAAGAGAAGTTCATGTTCTTAATCAAAACTCTGTCAAAAAGTAATATTGACAAATTAGAGAATTTTTCAGCTGGTAAGGAAGCCTCAAAAGTAACATACTGAAGATTAGGGCTAACCAACAAAATAACTGTTGATATATTGAGATAAATTACCTCTGTCTCTTCTCTCAATACTTCTTGACTCTCCAGCGTCCGCTTGGAAACTACAAGGAAAATAAATTCACCATGCTACCTTGGATTAACTCCAAAGCCTAGAGTGGCTTACTTTATTGCAAATACTAAACTACAAACTACAGAAGTAGAGAAAACACATCCGTTCACCTAGCCGTACATCATTGGAAGCAAGAGAACATAGTTATCAGATCTTTTGGAATGTAACTACGTCACCGGAACTCTCCAAAGTTACGCTCTAGGAATCCATCACAGCTCTATGCATTTAACTCTCACATTATATTGCTACATCACACAGTTTAAACTATAACAATATTTCACAACATTTAAACCATGTTCTGACAATAACTTCTTTCAAAATAATTATCAAAAAATGTGGAAGGAGATTGAAGAAAATTTGGAAAGATGGCAAAGAATTCAATTAACTTGGGTGGGGAGAATAGCGGTGATAAAAGGGATCTGACTCAAAATGCTGTTTTATTCCAAAATCTACAAATATTTAAAGGAGGGAGAATTTTCAAACATTGGGGGAAGGATTTAACTAAATTTATATGGAATGGGAAAAAAAGCTAGCATTGCTTACAGAAACCTAACAGATGCCCAAGAGAGAGGGGCTTAGCGCTGCCAGACATGAAGTATGAATACGAGGGGCAAGATTAGAAAACTCACAACAACCCAGTGATTCCGGCCTTGAAAGCCTTCGACAATACATTGTTCAAAATCTGCTTGCCCTGGCTTTGTTCTGAGGCTGAGAGAGCGTGACACAGCCAAGGTCACCCAGTGGACTTCGTGGCCAAGCGGAGATTAGAGCCGCAATCCAAGGCTCGCTTTCTCCACTTCGGTTATAGTCTGTACGCACAATGATTTCAAAATGAGTTAGGAATTATTACAAAGTGCTAGGCTTCAGCTGGCTAAAGGAAGGGGTAAGAGTAGAAAACTGAGCTTTACTCAACCTGGAGGGATATGACCTAAGATTTGGCTGGCATGCATATTTATGGAATGGACAAGATGGCATTAATAAAGTTTTCCATAAACATCCCATAAGAGTAAGTCTGTTAACAATTTGGAATAGATATAAGGTGGGGATGGAACAAAAAAAACTATTATGTATAGGACTTCTGGAAGCAACATTAAATACAGGGTTAGAGAGGAGATATGATATTGTTGTTGTTCATTCGTTCAGTCGTCTCCGACTCTTCGTGACCTCATGGACCAGCCCACGCCAGAGCTCCCTGTCGGCCGTCACCACCCCCAGCTCCTTCAAGGTCAGTCCAGTCACTTCAAGGATTCCATCCATCCATCTTGCCCTTGGTCGGCCCCTCTTCCTTTTACCTATTGGTGGTTTCGCTACCACCAATTATATATTTTAAAAAGATAATAAAGTAGGATTCACTAAAAGAAAATTGGAATAGGGGAATATTTTAGAGAAGAATAAGGGATTTGTTTCCAGATTATATAGGGACGTATTGGAATACAACCTAGAAGATAATCCAACAAAAGGATAATAGCAAAATCTTGGAAAGGAGAAAAAGAGTGATTGCTAAAGGACTGGAGAGAAAGAAGTATGGGAATATCTCCCAAAGGCCAAACTATTCCACGACATACGGGGAGGAAAGAAGGAAGATTTTGTTAAGAAATGGAGGCTTGCATTTGGAGATCTAGAGAGAAGAGAAAAACTAGATTTTGGTGTTGTCACAAAGGGAATTTATTAATGCAGGATAAGGGTGGGTTTTTGTGACATTAGTTTCATACTCGGTGGCAGTGAGGGTCCCATGAGTGGGGGATTCGGCAGAATGGCATGTTTTATTTATGTGTTTATTTCTATCCCACCTTTCTCTACCCCGAAGGAGACTCAAGGCGGCTTTACAAATGGCAACTATTTGATGCCTTTAGAGAACAACAATTAAATACATTCAAGTTAACATTTAAAAAATTAAATTTGAGTTAAAATGCACATTAAAACATATATAAACATTATAATCATTATTAAAATCACGCCATCCATAGTTGTGATCTGGGGCCATTCCAAAAGTCATTAATCATACATGCATTATGTGTATCTGATTATCTTTACTTATTTCTTTACAGCATTTATATTCCGTCCTTCTCACTCTGAAGGGCACTCATAGAATCATAGAATCAAAGAGTTGGAAGAGACTTCATGGGCCATCCAGTCCAACCCCATTCTGCCAAGAAGCAGGAATATTGCATTCAAATCACCCCTGACAGATGGCCATCCAGCCAGCCTCTGTTTAAGGAGCAGGAATATTGCATTCAAACCACCCCTGACAGATGGCCATCCAGCCTCTGCTTAAAAGCTTCCAAAGAAGGAGCCTCCACCACACTCCGGGGCAGAGAGTTCCACTGCTGAACGGCTCTCACAGTCAGGAAGTTCTTCCTAATGTTCAGATGGAATCTCCTCTCTTGTAGTTTGAAGCCATTGTTCCGCGTCCTAGCCTCCAAGGAAGCAGAAAACAAGCTTGCTCCCTCCTCCCTGTGGCTTCCTCTCACATATTTATACATGGCTATCATATCTCCTCTCAGCCTTCTCTCATGCCCAGCACACATACATGGCAAACATTCAGTGGCGTTTTTGACATACAAGACATACAGAGAGATACAGGCCGCTCAGCAGTTCTTCCACTTTGGATCCTGGAGGTTGCTGGAGGAGGAAAGAAATGTTTTTCTTTCTCATATTCTGTATGCAATTAATTCACTTAATAAAAACTTATTTAAAATGAAAAGACAACACTATCCAAAGGAATTTAAATAATGTCTTAAACCCCAGCTGTATCTGCCTTTCCAGTCTCTGATATTCTGACCCTTCTGAATCCCCTTTTCGCAAACACATTTTTAATTAGGAAAAAGAGAAACAACACAGTAATATATATATGCTCAAATTATACAGTACACTGAGTGGCGAACACAACCCAATACAATTTTTAAAAAAACACACCAATAAGACACACCTATATAGATACACAAAGTATTCTAACAAACAAATCAACAAACAGACTTGGGTCTAAATGTAAGAACTTCACACTGAGTTGATTGTATCCCTCATTATTCGATTCCCCTTAGATAATCCTATGTAAGTCCACTTCTGCTTTTGACAACATTCTTCTAAATTCATAAATCCAACTAACTGACATTTGCTCCTGTTGTTGTTGTTGTGAAAAAGTGATAAACAAGTCCCGATCTTTCTTGAATATGCTGAAAGGTTTCTCTTGAATCAGCAGTCACTCTGTCCATCTCTGATCGTTCGCATATGTTCATCAGTCATTCTTTTTGTGTGGGATAATGACTTCTTACCATCTCTGAGGATAAATAGTGCTTACTGCAGTTATCAGCTAGGCAGGAAGGCACAGTTAAAGCTCTCCCAACAGACAGCCATGCAACCCCAGCTCAAACCCCTCCAGAGTTGATTCCAGACTCCTTGGACCAAGACTGTGGCGCAGCTGGTTGGGATTCAGCTGCATTAAGATCACTACTGACCAAAAGGTCATGAGTTCGAAGCCAGCCCAGGTCAGAGTGAGTTCCTGACCATTTGTTTAGCTTACTGCTGACCTTTGCATCCCGAAAAACAGCTGCATCTGTCAAGTAGGAAGTTTAGGTACCGCTTATGCAGGGAGGCTAATTTAACTAATTTACGATGCCATAAAATCTTCAGCAAGCAAGCAAAGAATGAGGTAGTACTCCATCAGTGTCTCAAATGGACAGTGAAGCAACAGCTCCCCTGGTGGCCAGAATACCCTCATGAAAGCTGGAATGTTAAATAGCCTCTGTATGTCTGTTTATATATGTTGTGTGTCTATGGCATTGAATGTTTGCCATGTATATGTACATTGTAATTCACCCTGAGTCCCCTGCGAGGTGAGAAGGGCGGAATAGAAATACTGTAAATAAATAAAGAAATAAATAGGCAGTCTATACTTCACTGGGATTGTACGGGACCCCCAAACGGTATTTAGTCCAGTCCCCTTCAACCAGCTAGAAAGGCACAGTCAAAGCACCCATGGAAGGCTCTGCAGCCTCTGTTTAGAAACATTCAGAGAGGTGTAATCACTACAGAAGTGGAATGCTGGTATGTTCAAGTGTACGTTCGGTTACAACTTTTGTTATGTGCACAATAATGACCTAAATTAATTGAGAAAATAAAATCTGTTGATACAATTAAATAAAATCTGGATCCGCTATAGAGGAAACTACACAATAATTGTTTATATAGTAGAGAGTATATTAAACAAGTATTTCTATATAATTATTTTATACTTCTATTAAAAATCTTATAAGGGGTTGGTTTCAGCTTGAATTATCAGTGATGCTCTGTCCACACTCCAGGTATTTATGGGGTTTCTCCCCAGTGTGAATTCGTTCATGTGAACGTAGATTTGAATTGTGAGAGAGGCTCTGTCCACACTCCAGGTATTTATGGGGTTTCTCCCCAGTGTGAGTACTTTGATGCACAAGTACACCTGGATTATGAGTGAAGCTCTGTTCACACTCCAAGCATGCATAGCGCATAGGGTTTCTCCCCAATGGGAGTCCTTTGAAGTGAACGTAGATTTCCACCATGAGTGAAGCCCTGTCCACTCTCCAGGCATGTATAGGGTTTCTCCCCAGTGTGAGTCCTTCGATACAAACGTAGAGTTGAGTTATGAGTGAAGCTCTTTCCACACTCCATGCATTTCTAGAGTTTCTCCCTAGCGTGGATCCTTTGATGCAAACATGAATTGCAAGTAAATCTTTATCCACATCTTTATCCACATTTATAGGGTTTTTCCCCAGTGTGAGTAATTTGATGTGAAAGTAGAAGTCCACTTTCAGTGAAACCCTCACTCAAGGCACGTATATGGTTTCTCCCCAGTGCGAGTCCTTTGATGCGCACATAGACTTCCATTCTCACTGAAGCTTTTTCCACACTCCAAGCATGTATAGGGTTTCTCCCCAATGTGAGTCCTTTGATGTGAACGTAGACCTGAACTCTGAGTGAAGGTCTGCCCACATTCCAGGCATGAATAGGGTTTCTCCCCAGTGTGAGTCCTTTGATGTAAACGTAGAGTGACATTCTTAATAAAGCTCTTTCCACACTCCAGGCATGTATAGGGTTTTTCCCCAGTATGAGTCCCTTGATGCAAGCGTAGATTTCCACTGTGTTTGAAGCTTTTTCCACACTCGAGACATGTATAGGGTTTCTCCCCAGTGTGAGTCCTTTGATGCACACGTAAATTTCCATTCTCAGTGAAGCTCTTTCCACACTCCAGGCATGTATAGGGTTTCTCCCCAGTGTGAGTCCTTTGATGTAAACGTAGAGTGACATTCTTAATAAAGCTCTTTCCACACTCCAGGCATGTATAGGGTTTTTCCCCAGTATGAGTCCTTTGATGCAAGCGTAGATTTCCACTGTGGTTGAAGCTTTTTCCACACTCGAGGCATGTATAGGGTTTCTCCCCAGTGTGAGTCCTTTGATGCACATGTAAACTTCCATTCTCAGTGAAGCTCTTTCCACACTCGAGGCATGTATAGGGTTTCTCCCCAGTGTGAGTCCTTTGATGAACACGCAGTGTTCCATTCTCACCGAAGCTCTTTCCACACTCCAGGCATGTATAGGGTTTCTCCCCAGTGTGAGTTCTTTGATGAGAACGTAGATGTGAACTACTAGGGAAGCTTTGTCCACACTCCAGGCATTTATAGGGTTTCTCCCCAGTGTGAGTCCTTTGGTGCCTGTGTAGCTTTCCATTCACACTGAAGCTCTTTCCACACTCCAGGCATGCATAGGGTTTCTCCCCAGTGTGAGTCCTTTGATGTGAACGTAGATCTGTACTCTGGGTGAAGCTCTTTCCACACTCCAGGCATGCATAAGGTTTCTCCCCAGTGTGAGTCCTTTGATGTGAACGTAGACTTGATGTATGAGTGAAGCTCTGTCCACATTCCAGGCACTTATAGGGCTTCTCCCCAGTGTGAGTCCTTTCATGTTGCTGCAGATGAGGTCTCTGAGTAAAACTCTTTCCACACTCCAGGCATACATAAGGTTTCTCCCCAGTGTGAGTCCTTTGATGTGAACGTAGACTTGAACTATGAGTGAAGCTCTGTCCACATTCCAGACACTTATAGGGCTTCTCCCCAGTGTGAGTCCTTTGATGCACACGTAGTGTTCCATTCTCACCGAAGCTTTTTCCACACTCCAGGCATGTATAGGGCCTCTCTCCAGTGTGAGTCCTTTGATGTTGCTGCAGATGATGCCTCTGAGTAAAACTCTTTCCACATTCCAGGCATTTAAATGCTTTCTCCTCCATGTCAACAGTGATATATGTGTTGAATTGCAGTACAGATACTTGGTGCTACTTTTTTCCTGTCTTATCTGTAAGTGAAGTCAAGAATAGGCAAGATCATCACCTTGAGATTATTCCTTCCTTCTTCCTATATTAATGGTTTCCTTACTGCACCCAAGAGTTGGCTCCCTGGAATCCTCATTTCCCTGGTGAAGAAAGAAGTAAAAGATCAGGGATGAAAGACAGAATCCTTCTTTACCTGCAAGATTTTCCCCTTTTCCCTTCATGGGTCATGTTGAAAATGGGAATACCAAAAAAATGCAGACATCAGGGTCTCAAACACATACACAGATGCCAACAAAGGCAATCACTGATTCTTAAACAAGAAGGGAATGAATCCAGAAAGAAAAAAAAATGAAAGGACAGGATGGAGAACGAAAAGAATGAATGACAGAAGGAAGAAAGGGGGACTCCTAATATTTACCTCCATTTGGCAAAATAAAGCAGGGTATAAATATAAATATACCGTATATTCCGGCATATAAGACGACTGGGCGTATAAGACGACCCCCAACTTTTCCAGTTAAAATATAGAGTTAAGACAACTCCCATGCATAAGACTACACCCGTGTATAAGACGACCCCTGACTTTTGAGAAGATTTTCTTGGGTTAAAAAGTAGTCTTATACGCCAGAATATACTGTAATAATAATCTCCCTCGATCGGTGCCACCTTTTCATGGTGGGGTCTTAGCTGCTCCAAGGAGGCTGAGAGCTGTGCTGGCCGTAGTGTAACTACCAGCAGGTCCAACCAAGCCAAAGAGGTCTCAGCTGAGGAGTGGAACCAAGAGCACCTAACCCATTAGCACTATGGAGAAGCAAACCAAAATGAAGTCTATCCTGGCTCGGTCGACGCCCAGGATAAAACGGACCGCGATGGAAGCTGCTGATTCTGGACATCAATCGACAAGTGAGTTACAGAATCAAAATACAAATGAACAATCACAGAAGCGGCAGAAATATACAATGCCAGAAAACTGCACAGTTATGAAATGCTATTGCAAATCAGAACCTCAAAAGCGTGGCTACCAAAAAAGGATGCATCAGTTGTGGAAACAAGAATATCCTGACTCACAGATAACTGAAGCCCGACTGGCTGATCAACGAAGATTCATAATCAGAAACAAAGTGATAGTAACAGAAGAGCTTGGGCTCCTACAACCAATGAAGCCTCCAAGAAAATTGACTGGAAAACCAAAATGGAAGGTCAGGTTGGAGTTGAAAACCAAAAATCTACGACCAGATGAAAGTAATCTGAAAAATATGAAGGAGAAGAAACTGAAGAATGACAAAATCAAGCGGTATCTGATCAGAAAGTACTGGCTGAACACTAGAAAAATTGAAGAAGCTTTGGAAATTGTGAAAGAACAAATTACAGCAACAGCCAGAAAAACCAAAAGACAGGACGCCAGAATAATCCAGTACAGACAAAATGAGCATTTAAATCAGACCACAGATGGTTCTATCAGAGTCTGAACCAAAGAACAGACACAGTAGTCACAAAGCCTGAGAAAACTGCAACAACTAAGTTTTGGAAAGAACTCTGGGAAAATAATAAGAACTACAACAAAAACGCTGGAAGGATAAAGGAGTTTGAAGAAAAATTCTCACAGAACAAAATGGAACAGATGGAAATAACAACTGAAATGATCAGCAAACGAGTGCAAAAAGTCAAGAACTGGAGATCGCCAGGTAGTGATCAACTGCATGGATTTTGGCTAAAAGATCTGACTAGCCTACATGGGAAAATGGCCCAACAATTCAATGAGATGTTGCAAAAAGGAAGTATCAGTGAATGGTTAACAAATGGAAGAGCATATCTGATACAAAAGGATCCAGCAAAAAGAGCAGCACCAGGAAACTGTCTGCCCACTACGTTTAAACTATTGTCTGGCCTCATAGCTGACAGAATTCAAGGTTATCTTGAAGAAAATAACATCTTGCCAGATGAACAAAAAGGTAACAAACGGAAAAGCAGGGGCACAAAAGGCCAGCTATTAATTGACAAAATGATTCTGGGGAACTGCAAAAGCCAAAAAAATAATCTTCACATGACATGGATTGACTACAAAAAAGCCTTTGACTCACTCCCACACAGCTGGATAATCAAGTGCCTAGACACCATCGGCATTTGTAAAAACATTGGGACTTTTATTGAAAAAATGATGAAGCAGTGGAAAACTGAACTGTTTCTTGGAAATGAAAACTTGTCAAGATCAGGAGAGGAATCTTCCAGGGAGACTCATTGTCCCCACTGCTCTTCATCATTGCCGTGATCCGTCTGTCAACAACCTTGCAAAAAACAAACCTGGGATATCAAACATCTAAGAAATCTCACAAAATTTCACATTTGCTGTACATGGATGACCTGAAGCTGTATGGGAAAGCCGAAACTGAAATCCAGTCTCTGACTAACACTGTCCTGATGCTGCAAGAATCCTGGGTTGCAAGAATCAGGTCTTCTGCCTTCTTCTTCAGTGTTCGAATTCGTGAGCCATAACCAGCTCAAATCCTAATGAGACAATTCAATTACTCGTCAAAAATAAACCAGATGATTCCCAATAGACTTCCACGCCTATGTCTAGAAGACCAAGTCCAGCGTAACCAAAAGGCTATAAATAATGAGTTGGCTAAAACCGGCCTTCCTTTCCCATTTTTGAATTATCTAGGACCTAAGGCAAAACAATGGCTCATGCAATGCACTCCAGATATCTATGCTCAACAGGACCTAGCAAGCATAGGTAGGTGTACTGCCACAAGGTTTTTACCTTCTCACAAAAGAAATCTTCGTTTAGAACACTATCTGACTATCCCACTTCCGTTACCCTGAAGAAGAATATATACCAGGGCTAGGTTTGAACAACTCGGAATTATGATGCAAACTGGGCGTTATTGTAACATCCCAAGAAGTGAGAGGTTCTGTGTATGGGGAGACCAAACAGTGGAAGATATCGAGCATTTCTATATTGACTGTCCAGCATATGCTTCCCTCCAGTAACATAACAAGGAAGGAAAGACAAGCCATCAGAGACCGCAACTCAGATCCTGAGATCATCATTCTCCCAGCAGACAAGGGGAATGCCACAGTAATCATGGATACAGAACAATTCAAGGAGAAGATCAGAAAACTCCTGGATCCTACTATATACAGAAAACTTAAACAAAACCCAACTTCCAAAATAACCAGGAAAACCAACACTCTGATTAAGAACTCCTCAATCAACTTTGACATATGACAACAGCTTTGTAAATCAGAAGCCCTTCCACCTAGACTTTATGGACTCCCAAAAATCCATAAGGACTCCACCCCACTCAGACCCATCGTGAGTGCCATTGGATCCCCCACGTATGACTTGGCAACATTTCTTGCTGCACAGCTACAAAGCCATATTGGGCTCACTACACACTACATCAAGGACTCAGCCCACTTCATAGAAAAAAATCAGCAATCTCAAGCTAAATACCAACGACAACTGATCAGCTTCGATGTGGTGTCTCTATTTACCATGGTCCCGGTAGCAGACACCATTGCACTAATCAACCAGAGGTTCCCAGAGACATCACAGCTCTGTTTCACCATTGCCTCACCACCAGCTACTTTCAGTGGGACAAGGAATTCTACGAACAGAAAGATGGAGTAGCTATGGGGAGCCCTCTCAGCCTGGTCATAGTTACTTTCTACATGGAACACTTTGAAAAACAAGCCCTGGAAACAGCAATAAAAAAGCCTACGATATGGTTCAGATATGTGGATGACACTTTCACCATTTGGAGCCATGGAGAAGAAGAACTCAACAGGTTCCTGGACCATCTCAACAGCATCCACCCAAACATCCAATTCGCCATAGAAAAAGAAAATGAAGGAAGACTGCATTTTCTAGATGTCATCCGTAAACCAGATCAACAATTGGGTCACACCGTTTACAGAAAACCCACACACACAGATAGATATCTACATAAAAACTCCAACCATCACCCAAGTCAAAAAAGAAGCACCATTAAAGCCTTGGCAGACCGTGCAAACAGAATCTGCGAACCCCACCTCCTCCAAGATGAACTGAACCACCTCAACTGGGCTCTCCAGGCCAATGGAGACTCCACCTCAGACATCAGAAGAGCTGCAAGACCAAGAACAAGCCACGAGAGTCAAGATGAAGATCCACCCAGAGGAAAAGTGTTCCTGCCATACATCAAGGGAACCACTGACCGCATAGGGAAGCTGATGAGGAAACACAACATACAAACTATCTACAGACCCACCAAGAAAATCCAACAAATGCTACGTTCAGCAAAGGACAAGAGGGATCCTCTCACTTCTGCAGGAGTCTACCGTATACCATGCAGCTGTGGACAAGTCTACATAGGGACCACCAAACACAGCATTGCCCAAACACAAATCAAGGAACATAGAAGGCACTGCAGACTGATTTAACCAGAGAAGTCAGCCATAGCAGAGCACCTGGTGAACCAACCTGGACACAGCATATTATTTGAGAACACAGAAATGCTGGACCACTCTCACAACCACCATGTCAGACTACACAGAGAAGCCATTGAAATCCACAAGCATGTGGACAATTTCAACAGAAAGGAGGAAACCATGAAAATGAAAAATCTGGCTACCAGTATTAAAAAAAACCCTCTAAAATTACAACAGCAAAACAACAGAGAGGAAACAATCAGGGACATCTAATCACATCTCAACAAAAGATTGCCCCAGGCACTGCCAGGCCATCCATCAAATGCTAATCAATCTACAACAACCTATTTGTGTATATTTATGTGTGTTTGCGTATATATATGTGGTACTGTGCATGCTTAGTAATGCATTTTTTTTTTGGCTTTTAAGTCTCTTATGCTGTGTTTTTCAGTGTTTTTATGAGTGAGTCACTTGTTGGCCTGTTAGGTGTCTTGTATCCAAATTTGGTGTCAATTCGTCCAGAGGTTTTTGGGTTATATCAATCCCACAAACTAATATTACACACACACACACACATAGAGAGAGAGAGAGAGAGAGAGAGTGAGAGAGAGTGAGTAAAGGTTTTAACCTCACATTGTCCAGTCATGTCCAGCTCTGGGGGTTGGTGCTCATCTTCATTTCTAAGCTGAAGAGCCGTTACCTTCCTGCCTGGAGTGGTACCTATTGATTGACTCACATTTGAATGTTTTTGAACTGCTAGATTGGCAGAAACTGGGGCTAACAGCAGGAACTCATGCCGCTCCCCAAATCCGAACCTGCGACCTT